AGCATCCAGTTACCGATTTGCCCGTCACTGCGACCCCCATGGGAACAACCACGGGACGCCTGCGTATACAGAGAGACCAAGGGTGGCTTGCGCTCCGTTATTCACAGCTCAATCTACACACCCCGTATCCAATGAAAACCCGGAAGAATAAAAACAGAAGGCATGTAGATGGGAGCCAGGTTTCATCAATTAAGCCGGTTCACGCTCTTACAACACGCATAGCTGCAGTATTCCAGTCTGTCTAGTTGAGGAAACATGCGTGTCAAAGATACACAAGGCAGTGGCTGAGCAGTAGTCCGCTCCACACTGGATGGAAGCACACTTTGGGCCTAGCACATCCCCGAAGACCGTGCATCAGGTCTCCACAGCAACGATGCACATTCACCTGGTGCCAGTAATCGAGGTGGATGGTGTTAGACAGCTAGGCAATTTGTCAACATTCACATCAAGTACCGGGGATCTCAAACAACTAACGGAACATCTATAGGAAAATGACCAAGAAAAATTGACAAGGATTATGCAGCGGCATAAAAGCACTGAGGAAATGACATAAAGCAGAATACCTTGTATCCAGATAGGGGCGATATTGTTTAAGAGAAAGTCGCCACTTGGCTTTTCTAACTGTGTTTGATGTCCGGTTTTATAGCGTTGTTTCCTCACCCCATTAATCCGAAGATGAGACCTATAACTTTGTTTGCAGAAAAGAAAATACTGAATTATTGAAATCTAGCGGATCATCATCTGCGTACTCAAGGGCTCTCGATGCCTTTTGTTGACCCCACACATCTTTCTCCAAGTGACCTATATGCGTTTCGTTATATTGGGGTCAGTTAAGCAGTATGGAAACTTGGCTGTACAAAACAACACTGGTCGCTCTAGACATAGGTATCTCAATGGAATATCAAGTAGACGAGTGGTCTCCATATGAACTGTCATTTGTCTGACTCGGACCTTGATTGCTGATACAACAGATCTTATTACAAACAGATAACTGACACGTGCTGAGCATTTCCAACGCTGGAAAATTCAGGTACGTCTAACTAGCTTGGATCTCTAACACTAGGCTTCCGCACTGCCATACCCCAGAGTTCAAGTTGTACTACTTTTCCAACCTGCGTGGTAACCCTGGAATACTGTCTGATTATGCATTTTGACATCTTGGAGAAAACTCAATAAGGATTAAATTGTAGTGGAGGGTTCAACAGTTAAGAAATTTTGTAATTTGGCTGGTGAAAACGCATTATGGACTAAGGCATGAACTAAGTAGAAGTAGGCGAATATGTAGAGTGGTGTCCGTCTGTTGTAAATGGCATTATCCATCGCGATTTCTTGGCTTATGGGTAGTTCTCGGGCAACATTCCGAAGACCCCAGGTTCACATGCCTGCTATTTCTGTCTGGTGAGATAAGTTGGAGTGGAGTGGAGTGCTTTTAAATGAGGGATGATCGATAGACTCACCAATTTCTAATCTGTTCATGTTTTCGTTTACAATGGGCTTTCCATCAGCATACTTACGAAGCTTTTTGAGTGTTGACACCGTTATTCAATATATCCCTTACTGACTTCCCTTGAACGTGTCACGATGCGTACGTAGACAGAGTCCTCCTGTCTTTCCAAGCGGCTAGGACAAGTTTTATCACCTGGCTTCCGTGGGATGGTAGTGAGCAAACACTGTGTTCGAAATCTAACCCGGTTAGACCTACCTGAATATAGAGTCGTATTCAGCTTGAGTATGTACCTGACGTAGGGCACGTAACCATCTTGGTTAATGTCTAGCCCATTAGCCATGGGCTGCGATCATCACAAATTACAGGTTTATCGATGAAATGAAAGCACTAGAGATAAAGTGATAAATTCCACAAACCGTCAAACCTGGTACTCAAATCCGATTATTATCCTACAAGCCGAAAAATCACTTCTCGTTTAGCTTTACTTGTCGTAACCATTAGATTTGAGTTAAACAAACTGAGACGGAGTGTCCGTTATCTTACAGTTATGGCCTGCATGCAGTTCGGTGACCGCTGAACTGTCTCTGCTTTCACTAGCACAGAAATTCCTTTACTGAAGAGTCACTTCGTTGTCAAGCGGCATGACGTACTATATCTGTGTACACCTTCAAGATGAAGGGGGATGGTGTGGTATTCGAAATAACTTAACCAGGTTCCTCCACAGGTATGATACTTTAGCCCTTTGTGGCCATTGATGTTTAGCATGCGACACATGCTTCTTGCAGTGCCAACTCAGATTCGTTCTCACAAACCTTTTGTCACCACCAAATAGACTTAAGTATAGATGGCACTTGTCTTGCCGCTACAGCCACTCATTTCATTCGTCACAATGGCCAGATGGTTTATACTTCCTCTCCGAGCCATCAGGATGTGTGCCTTTTATCACGTTGACACCGGCAACAACTACGGCGAATGGTGCCAATTTTTTCACCGGCAATTCATTTACTCTTTATTCTATTCATCTAATAGTGCTAAGACATTTTGACCAACATCAAACTGACCATCCTCCCGTGTGCTCCCAAAGTACCAAGAAGCATGTGCTGTACAGATTCACCGCTATACTGCGCGTGTATCAGTGCAATCGCTTTCGTATAAATTTATCTTAAAACGCACGATAGCAGCTGGCGGAAACCAACACATTATTTGAGCCTTGCCGGATGTGTACGCTTCCGCAAAAGCTCGGTAAATCGGCCTGCCTATGTCCTTTAAAAAAAGCAAAGCACAGGAAGTGTTGTTTGCAGTCCCAAATTAAGGGCACCCAAAGAAAAGATGTTAAGACACAAAGTTTTGGAAATTTTCCCTTTGGGTTATGTCTTTCCCTTTGTTTTACTGCTTGCTACAAACAGACCCAATCAACTAGACGGCTGCTTAACTGCCCACCATTCAAACTTAAAGGATAGTGAGATCTCTTTTGCTGATAGCAATGGAGCACTAAATCTTACATTTGTTGGGCACCACATCGTCGTTACATTCATGACAAGAAGGCTACTGTAACCTGGCCTGAACCAGCAAACATCAATACGGCATACAGCGCTGGGTATGGGCGTCGGCTACTGGCACTAGACCCATCCTAAACCAGAGCATCGAAGAACTCATATCACTGTCCCACGAGCCTTGACGAGCATAGCAATGCAGCTAATCAATCCATCCTTCTTGTGGTAGATCTGAAGCCGGTACCTACTTACTTTGACACAATCGACAGCGCTAGACGGATCCGTGAGATCGCAGCACCACAATGATACTACGGAGGCAGTCGGTCGGAAAGCTGACTCGATTTCACTGCCCAATTTTTAGATAAAGCAATGCTATCACTGTCACTCACTGAGCTGAAAAATCTGCTTACTTAAGGCGAGAGTCGGCTAGACGTGAAATGTTTCATGATGGCCGCTCATTCAACAAAGTGCTGGCCCACTTGACTTAGATGAGTTTAGTTTGGTAAGTAACACAAGACAGTATGCCCATAAGGCTGTTAGGATGCAGTTACTGTACTATTAACCTAAGGGGGTTCATGTCACACCATTTTTAGTAACAATGCATTTTCTTGTAGTCAAACCAGTCCATAACGCATCCTAGTTGAGCAGTGCGTCAACGTTCTTCTATGTCCGCAGAGTATACGTGGCTATAGTTACGACGCTAAACATAAGTTAAAAAAGCAGGGAAATTGTGACAGGTCTACATGGTTCCAAGATCCATGATCGGTCCAAAGTTTCCAAGTGAATGACGGTTTGGCCCTCTGTACACGGGTTCTCAGGAAATTTCAGTTTATGATACTGCGAGACTGAGGTAAGCAAGAGGTTATGGTTGATTATTGTAGATTCCCGGTGTAATTTGTTTCGCCCAAACTTACACAACTGAGTGTCCCAGCTACGAAGGAAAACAGACATTTGTTTTGTTTAGTTAGAAAGAGTTAAATGGGATCCACCGCACATCCCTTGCACTTCAGGGAGGAGTCGTTACTAGTAGGCAACACGAAAAGGTAGCATCCGATACGATTCATTAGATGTCTGTGACAGCGCAGTTCATTTCAAATTACCTTTCACGTTACTGTTGTTTAACGTACATGTTTACTGTCCTCGGACCTGAGTTTCCTGTATTAAAGGACAGTAATTTATTAACTTATTTCTTAGGACCCGTGGGAACATCATTTAACTCTGCAGCTCCTTGTTTTTAGTTCAACTACGTAATCATCACCTACCCGGAAAGTAAACGGGCGGTTGTGTAATGTCTAGTCAATTGGGAGCTGTAGATAAGCAAAGTTAAATGGTCTATATCTTGGAAGGTTGTACTAATGCCTTGACTGTATCCACTGAGTCAAGGCTCATGATGGTGGACAACTTTGAACAGCCATTATCTAAGACATGGCGTAACTTGTCTACCGGGAAAACGCGGTACGTTCCAGCAGTTGGTGACCAAACTAGTTGGGTAATAATGTTATAAAAATATTTGAGATTCACTAAACGAAGTCGTAGGTCAGGAAGCCATCCATGTTCTCTGGCTAGCAGTAGTGTAAATTGTGCCTGAGAATGAGATGCGTTTTATGACACCAGTTGCTCGTGATGTCGCAGCTCCGTTCCCCGTAGCTTGGTGGGTTAGGTAAGTGCAGATGAGAGAGCAGTTGTGAATTCGAGCCCTGTAGGTCTCGAACATATTCGCGCAAGCGCTGAGTCAACATAAGAAGGGGTAACCTATCAGTTCATTTCTAGCTATGTGGTTGCTGACTGACCGAATCTGGCTGAAACCTACTGATAATTTTTGTATTGCTGGCAGCCTGTTGAAACTATCATCTACTACTGATCCATTGAATTTGTGTTGTCACGTTAGCGTTTCTGAACAGCCTAAATTCACCTTCTTGATGGACAATAGTCGGGGAGTTAACAAGGAGATGATAAGCATAGAAAAATTAGAAAGTTTGTATCTGGGATTTTGGTTAACTGAAAGCAACAGACAAAGTGTACGGCTACACAGGTTTAGTGAAATAGATTTTACATCAGCTTCAAGCAATGACCAACTCCCCACTAGAGTCAAATGAAAAGGTTCTTTTACTGAATTGCGACCAACCACATGCGTTGCCTAAGGAGACGAGGATAGTGTAATTCAGGTCGTGGCGCAGGTTCTGAAGAACAAATGAGTCGGCATCACCAGGAGCCCAATATGTGCGGGAACCACCTCGTCCATCCACGAGCAAAATGTCGGTGTCAGTGGTCTCTTGCAAGGTGTCGAGCTTTGTCCAGCTCACCTTTAGTGCCTCGGTGGTTCCACTCAGTTCTATGTTTTTCGGTTCGTTAGGGGCAGCTGAAATGACAAAAAAGAGGAAGAAACGTAAGTGTGCTGCTTAAAGCATTAAGGGAGAACAATGAGAAAAAGTGGTGAGCTCCATGTCCTAAAGGTGGGCTTGCCACGTGAACATTTTACCTTTGTTGCGAAAGGCATCCACAGGTTGCCGCAATGATGCTGCCTCCACCGCAGCATGAAAGCGAAACAAGACAGAAACTACACAGGAAAAACTCGATGCGAATCAGTTGATTTTTTGACGGGAAACAGTGGGTTTTATGAACTTGCTAGTTTCATCCTAAATCCCCGGCAATTAAAAACGAGAGCATATCATACTGGCAGGTCGACTGATATACCATGAAAGCATAAGTTGCTTAATCTTGACCTCTTAGAGAGCTTCCAGCCTGTACAGATGGACACCATGAGTTAGTGTTGGCATGTTAGGTAATCAATCCCAGTACCCAGTGCCAGAGCGTGTTCGCACGAGCTTCACAACTGACCACTATTACCTGAATGCCAAAGCTCCTTTAAACGCCCAGTCGTGTAGCACATACCAGAATGAACAGGAGAACAAAGTTTCAGCTGGTCCATCATCTCAAAGTCTTACTACCTCAGCCTTGAAGTTTCCCTGCGAGATAGTCAGCTTCCTGTTTGTGAGTCCATCTATGCGGTGCTGGCTAAAGGTGTAATCAGCGTAAAATGTGTCCGTATCCACAAGTGGTTGCTTATCGGCTGCAGCATTGCCCCAACAGACATACAAAATAGGTGGCCAAAACATATCTTTCTTCTTATCTCCTCACAAATGCACACAACATGAATTGAGTTTATCCGTGGTTTTCTTCAACTAAGTAACACCATGCGGAAAATCTGAACTAAACAAGCGCATCAAGCGATTTTCCGGAGCTAGGTAACTACTGAACTTATATATTATTGGTTTACGATGTATGCTACAAATTGGCAAGAGAGATAATGTATGGGTTCCTTGCAAGCATCATAAGGGAATAATATGCTTCAAATATTCATAATGTTATTAAACACTTACTCTGAGGTTCCACCTGATAGGTCATCAGCTCAGACGCGGGTGAAAGCCCACACCTGTTCTCGGCCCACATTTGAACATTATACACACGGCACTTTTGCATACGACGCAAGACAACTTGACGATCTGCTCCAGCTGCCCATTCTGTGTGGGCGGCGTCATATTCATCTTCGTATGAAACACGATGACTCAGCAATGTGCCCATTCGTTCTGTGGACCAAGTTAGAACGAATCCATTGGGAGACGGACTGATTCGATCAATTTTGGGCGCTTTAGGGACTTCTGGAAATAACGGAAACGTAAGATGCTTAGTGTAACGACTACACAAAACGACTTCCGGTTTATCAGGGCATGTGGCCAACCAGTTATTCATAGCAGATTAGACAATGTCACTTCTTAGAAAACTTACCGTTAGATAGTAGCTGCGCATACAAAATCGTTGGTTGGGAGTAAATTGGTCCATTTGTGAGATACACGCTAATTGAATGGTTAAAGCATATTGCAAGCCCTTTGTGTAACTCGATGTACGTCGAGACATCCGTCACCCCTGGAATAATTTCGTATCCATACGGAGTGGTGTAATTGATGAGATAACTATTCACGTCGGTGCCGTTTATTGGTGGTTCAATCTGCAGTAAGATGGTGGTCTCCGTAGCCTGGACGATGGACGCCATCCGTGGATCAAGGACTGCAAGGGTAAAAGTACCATTATCAGTAGTTTGTTGCATACCCCATGGTTAGTTCCAAATGTAATTTCACCCAAGTGGATAGTTTTCGGGGTTGCTACTTCCTGACACCTGACTTAGTGTGGTTGTTGCATACTGACACGAACATAGCCATGGTGTGAAGGTCATAGTCCAACAATGTAAAACATTTAAGTTCAGCTGTCTTCCTCGTATTCTGGTCTGGGGAAGAGAGCTGTGGAGAAATATCAATTATATGCTATTGCAATGCAGTACTGCTCACTTGACTTCAGTAGTAAATTTGAAACGGGGACAGAAAGCTACTTGGCTGTTACGTATGTCAGTTTAGTGGATCCAACCATTAAGGCCCATGACCTTAGCGATCCAAAGCTTGCCTCGTAATTTGAGATCGCGGATACGAGCTTGCGTAGGGGACCGGGTGACCCTCGCAGTATCCTATCCCACACGCAACTGGTGGTATCTGCGCGGCAGCGAACTGTCGATACAGCGTATCGGCGTAATGCTGTTGCCATTTTTCTCCTATCATGTTGTCAGTTGGACTCTATATATTCCACAACTTAACGCTACCAGCCATACACAACAACCATTACTGCCTATGATGTTTTTGGAATGCGATTCACACGGAACAAAGCTAAATCATTCCGATCACTGGGATCAAGTTCGAACTGGATATATTTTCACTGTTGTCGCTTCCAACCCTGCTCCTTTTGGAGGGGCAGAGTCACCGTCGTGCAGTTGCTCAATAGACTGTATACCGACAAATTGGAAAGCTGTTCTGATTAATCTACACAATTGGATCAAATAGCGATCAGCGATGCATAACCAGGGAATCGTCTCTTTGATAACTAAACATGATCACACTAATGGAACTTCATTTCCGTTTACATGTTCCTCTCTGTCATCACTCCTGTCCCTGCTATCGTCACCAACAATAGCATCGTCGTTAGTGAGGATACCAATTGCGTCAACGCTTACTTTGCTACGATACGAAACGCTCTATAAAAAGTGTGAGCATTCTGACATGGAGTCAGTGAAGTGTTATCATGCCCAATTTTTGTAGCGTTTGCACACACCCTCGGTAGGACAGGTCCAGATAGATAAGCAATGAAATATAAGTAACGTTTGCAATAAAAGTCGTTTAGCGTTCCGACCAACAGATCAACTATATTCCTACTATATACTTGGTTTGGTCACTGAATTTAGCCGTTTTTGGTGTGTGTTGAGACGATGTGTTGGAAGCGAGTAGGCTAATGAAGCACCCGCGATTCCTGTGGCCAATCGGTAATAGCAGAGGGCATTATCTTTATAATGACCCTGAGTACGAGGTCTATATCGTTCTGCTGACTCCAGGGGCGGCTGCTGCGCTGTTCTCGCAAAACCATAAAACTAAGGGTAAATCAGGTTCTTCGCAGTCAGTTTCCAAATCACATAGTCGTCCACATGCCCGGAAAATCACGACGGTCCGAAGCTGTCCCCCGTGGCCCAGTGGCATAAGCTGCTGACTGGCGGTTCAATCCGTTGGTGGTCATGGGTTCGAATCCTGATGGATTCGATGGATGCGCACTACTGATGATGCCCAACAGGCTGAAACTGCAGTCTAGTGCTTTTCCGGGCATGTGGACGACTATGTGATTTGGAAACTGACTGCGAAGAACCTCACTTAATTACATCAAAAATCCCCTACTCATGAGTACTAAGGGTAAATCAATCGTTAAAATTGCCACAGGCGTGAAATGGTGTGCATTCTTACACATCGTGCCCTAGTTGGCGCCTGCGCGACATCACTCTGACCCTAAAGGGTAGAGTGTGCAATGTAGCCGTACTTTTGACCCTATTGTACGGTTGTGAAAACTGTTCCCTTAGATCAACGAACATAAAGAGGCTAGGTAAGTTCGACCACCGGTGCCTTCGCAATTTAGCTCACATCTGGTGAGAACACCGTGTGAGCAACGAGCGTGTTCGACGCCTTGTTTACGGCACAGGAAAAGGAAACGAACCGCTCAGCACCGTTATTTCACGCACCAGGCTCTCATGGCTCGGCCAAGTATTACGCTTGCCAACCCACCGGATCCCGTGACGTGCGTTGTTTGCGCGCCGGGGGTGTGGATGGAAGAAGAGGAGAGGTGGCCAAGCGATGACTCGGTCGAGAGAAATGAAAGCTCTCACTTCGAAGCTGGCCTCGATTGGAGCTTCTCGGCTCCCTGGTTGGGGTCCGAAAGACGATGACCACGTTTGGCTGGATACACTTGTTGATATGGCTAGGAGCCGACCTCAGTGGCGTTCGTGCTGTGAGCTGCTTTGTCCACCTCATCCTTATTAGCCTTCCCCTCTAAACAAGATCCCATTATTTTGTGCGGTAAATAATTTTTTCTGCTGCATAACAGCCGGCAAGTAGCTTACCGGAACGATGCCCATCCGTTACCGATAGCTCAGCTGCCTTGCACCTGTTGCATTTTATTCCCTTTTTTCTTTTAGGTATTGCGCCACAGTAGCTGAGGTGTTTCCCACCTATAGCTAAAATGTATAGTGTGTGTGTGTGCCCTAGCTGTAGATGTTTTGCCCCGTGAGACAAGATGGGCACTTTCAGTGTTACATCAAATGCTTAGTGACTTCTCGCTAACTGAGGTCGGTTGTATCATACAAGTTTGTATGCACTTGTGTGCGGCTGCAAAGTGACTTTTATTTACTGAGAATTGTGCGGCTCCTAAATTCTACCTTCGCTCTACTCCGTAACACGTTCCTGTGATTTAGACAGAGCAGAAGTGGAACAACTTAGGCGGTTCGTGCCTACCAGAAGAACGTGTTCCCGATGTCAGTGGTGTGGTGCCACCGGCCGGAATCTGATACATATGCAGTGGATAGCTTCCAATAATCACGCATCAGATTGTGGAAGCATCACCACTGGTTTGTAACATGCACCCAAAATAGCATAAACAGCTCAGAAGTAACAGTACCCCGAAGCAATTAGTGACAATGCGCCGTATTTATTAGATCCACTTCAAGATGC